AGGGCTTTCTCTATTCAGCCCCGAAGAATGGGGGGGAAACAAAGGAACAGGGGAAACTGCGCCCGTCTCCGAGCTGCATTCAAGAGGCCATCTGCTCCTGCCAAGACAGGGGAGAGGGGCGGGGGGGGGGGGGGGGGGGGGACCGAAGGGAAGATCCCAGGTTCAGGCTTCATCGGGGCTATTTAAGCAAGGGATGCTGACACCCTCCCCTTCCCCAGGCAACAGCGACCCAACTGTTAAAAAATTAAGTTTCAAGCACTTGCCTCTCTTTTGACAAACAGGCCACGGAGAGGAAGAGAACCTGTCCCCCAGCCTGCTAACGGGCATCCGAGCGCGCCCTGCGAAAAAAAACGTTATCTGGCATTTTTCCCCCCAACCTTCTTTTTAATTGGCTGGGTGAAAGAGAGCTTGCCTTGGAAACTGATTTCCAAAAAGAAGCAATTTTGATTAAGTTCTCCAGAGAGAGAGGGGGGGAGGGAGGGATAGACAGATAGATAGATGGATAGATGCTGTAAGATAGATAGATAGATAGATAGATAGATAGATAGATAGATAGATGCTGTAAGATAGACAGACAGATAGATAGATAGATAGATAGATAGATAGATAGATAGATAGATAGATGCTGTAAGATAGATAGATAGATAGATAGATAGATAGATAGATAGATAGATAGATAGATGTAGTAAGAGAAGAGGAAGCAGAGCTGGAAGGGCGGAGTGAAGTGAGTCATCAGCCTAGAATCATCACATTCCCACAAGTACCCCTCTTGAATTTCTTGACTAGAGATAGACATAGAATAACAGAGTTGGAAGGGACCTTGGAGGTCTTCTAGTCCAACCCCCTGCTTAGATAGGAAACCCTACACCATTTCAGACAAATGGTTGTCCAACCTCTTTTTAAAACTTCCAGTGTTGGAGCATTCATAACTTCTGGAGGCAACTTGTCCCACTGATTAATTGTTCATAATCAGTGCATTGTCTGGACCCCTAGAATAGAATAGAATAGAATAGAATAGAATAGAATAGAATAGAATAGAATAGAATAGAATAGAATAGAATAGAATAGAATTAATTTTTTATTGGCCAGGCGTGATTGGACGCACAAGGAATTTGTCTTTGGTACATAAGCTCTTCAGTGTACAGACATACAGCAACAAAATGATAGACCATAAATCACAATTACAATCATTAATCATAAACAACAAGTGATCAATTATAAGATACGAATAGGCGAAGATAGTAGGAAAGATGAGAAGATGGGAAACATGATAATAGCCTACTACCTAGGTAAATTTCTTAGGCCTAAAACAGTGTTGTGGGAATTAAGTATTCTGCAGAGTAAATTATAATTACATGGACTGTGTATATATGTTTACTTCTCCTCTGACATGTTCTCACCAAACACTAAATAATAACAATGACGCCATCGGTGATGGTAAGCATGGGGTTTATTCTTTGTTTATATATATAATAGTCATTTGCCCTGCCCTACCAATATTGCAAACAAACAAGCCCAGAGACCACCAAAGAGTCCACATGCTGATCCAGTTCTACAGAGGAATTGTTGAGTCTGTCATCTGCACCTCCATAACTGTCTGGTTTGGTTCCGCAACCCAACAAGACAGACACAGACTTCAGAGGATAATTGGAACTGCAGAAAAAACAATGGCTACCAACCTGCCTTCCATTGAGGACCTGTATACTGCAGGTACCTGTATACTGCACGAGTCAAAAAGAGGACTGTGAAAGTATCTACAGACCCCTCGCATCCTGGACATAAACTGTTTCAACTCCTACCCTCAAAACGACGCTATAGAGCACTCCACACCAGAACAACTAGATACAAGGACAGTTTTTTCCCCAACGCCATCCCTCTGCTAAACAAATAATTCCCTCAACACTGTCAAACTATTTACTAAGTCTGCACTACTATTAATCTTCTTAGCGTTCCCACCACCCATCTCCTTCCACTTATGACTCTACGACTGTAACCTTGTTGCCGGTATCCTTATGATTTATATTGACTGTTTCCTAATATGATTTGATTGCTTATTTGTATACTATGACTATCATTAACTGTTGTACCTTATGATTCATGATGAATGTATCTTTTCTTTTATGTACACTGAGAGCTTATGCACCAAGGACAAATTCCTTGTGTGTCCAATCACACTTGGCCAATAAAGAATTCTATTCTATCCTATTCTATGAAGATTTCCTTGCAATTCACTGGGTCTGACATACTAGATTCTCACCTTCTTTGGTGCATTTGTCCAAAGATGGAGCAGGGAATAGGTGGGTGAGAGACACCCTTCAATGGATCAGATTTCAGAGGCTGTCAAACTGAATACCTGTGGGTCTGACCCCCAAATCACAAGCAAATTGGCATCTCCCTATAATATTGTTGGCCCCTGGTTTTATACTCGCTCTCCACGTTCCAACCCCATCTTCAATCCCAGTCAGCATATACATTATATATTTTTTTGAAATTATTTTTATTTTATAAACAAACAAACATGCAATACATAATCAATCGTTCAGTGCTGCATCTGAGTACATCTTTTGTGTCTTCTTCTTGTTCTCTAATGTTAATCATTTCATAATATCATCATTTCATTTATTGTAATATTTCTCCCACATGTCTTACTTTGCTTATACTTACTTTATCTTCTCTCTCCTTTCTTCTTCCCATATTTCATTACAACATTACCCTATATATATATTTCTTCCCTAAGCAATGGTAAAATTGTCTCCGTATCTTATAATATTCAGATTCCTCTCTTTCTTTGATTGTCAAAGTCAATCTATTCATTTCTGCACAATCCAATATTTTCTTAATTACTTCACCCTCTGTAGGAATTTTCTCTGCTTTCCATCTTTGTGCAAACACTATCCTCGCTGCAGTTATTATATGAATAATCAGATATATATTTTCTTTACTAAATTTCTCTGGTAGGATACCCCAGCATATACATTATAAATGGAGATTTAAAAGAGACAGAATATTGTGCATTAAGAAACACGTTTGATGCAGATCTTTTTAAAAAATGCAGATCCATGCAGAAATGACAGAGAACAGACTTAACAACGGACTCATAATTAGATTGGAAGTTGACTGATAGCTAATTCAGTCATTCTAAGCTTTCCAGAGAAGTAAGAGTGGTAATGGATTAAAAGAAATGTTAGTGAAGCATGCCTATTTATATATATAAATTCACAGCTATACTTATTCTCTCCAGAGCCTATGACCTAGTTACGTTTCTGGGTATTCTAATTTCTCTTCCTTTTTGCCTATTTTATCATGCATGAGAAGGTACCTGAGAAATTGCAGCGTTTATCTTCAAATGCTTCTTTTAAGCTTCTTTTAACACTAGCACAAGTTCTGGGATTGCTAGAGGCCTTGTTCACACAGCTCTCCAAATCCCTTTGCTCTCACAAAGATCAGACACTTGTTTTGCTATCCTGATAGAAGCCGAGGTGTTCTTACATTACAGAATCAGGGTACATTCTTGCCGGTTGATAGATTTAGAAGAAAAACTGAGTTCCGCAGCTGGTCATTTTTCTGCATCTCCTTCAGATTGCAAGAAAGACACCCCCCTCCCCCCCAGTTCAAACCGCTTGACTCAGATATAAAAAAAGATATTGGGACTCTGGAAAGAGTACGGAGAAGAGCAACGAAGATGATTAGGGGACTGGAGGCTAAAACATATGAAGAACGGTTGCAGGAACTGGGTATGTCTGGTTTAATGAAAAGAAGGACTAGGGGAGACATGATAGCAGTCTTCCAATATCTCAGGGGCTGCCACAAAGAAGAGGGAGTCAATCTATTCTCCAAAGCACCCGAGGGCAGGACAAGAAGCAATGGGTGGAAACTAATCAAGGAGAGAAGAACCTAAAACTAAGGAGAAATTTCCTAACAGAGAGAAAATTAACCAGTAGAATGTCTTACATCACTGGAGGCTTTTAAGAAGAGACTGGACAGCCAGTTGTCTAGAATCGTATATGGTCTGGAAACCCTGGAAACCTTGTCAGTCAGAAGTGGACATCAAGATACATCCACTGTCCCTTGGGTTGTCCCAGAGATGCTTTTTCAAGAGGCAACTGGACTTTCTGGTTTTTCTTTGAAGACATTTTGCCTCTCATCCAAGAAGCTTCTTCAGCTCTGAGTGTATGGTGGGGAATGGAAGGATTGCAGACAGCTGGTCGTTTGCATTCCTTTTTAGAGAGTCATTGAGGCCACTTGGAGATTTGTCTGTGTCCTCAGGGTCATCTGAGCAGTGCAAATGGGTGTGGAGCCTTCTTGGAACTGATGAAAGGACCATGTTCTAGACTGGAGATAGATGGTGTCGTATCCTTTACCCTCTGTTGAAAGTGGGCTGTTCAATTTCAACATAGATGGCCACTTCGACCCCTCCTTCAATCACCAGCTGTCTGCAAGGAGTATAAATCCTTCCATTCCCCACCATCCAGTCAGAGCTGAAGAAGCTTCTTGGATGAGAAGCAAAACGTCTTCAGAAGAAAAAAGAAGAAAGTCCAGTTGCCTCCTGAAAAAAAAAGCACCTTGGGGACAACCATGACCTGAATGACTGAGAATCTCTACACATTTGTAGCTATACAATTTGGGAGAGACACCCTTTGAATGGTGTAGGAGTAGGAATGGATTTCCAGAGGAAAAATTGCAGACTACAGGAACCAGGAGCACCGCTCAGGTGACCCTGAGGACACAGATAAACCTCCAGGTGGCCTCAACAACCCTCTAAAAGGATGCAAATGCCCAGCTGTCTGCAAGAAGTATAAATCCTTCCATTCCCCACCATCCACGTCAGAGCTGAAGAAGCTTCTTGGATGAAAAGCGAAACGTCTTCAAGAAAAAAAAAAACAAAGAAAGTCCAGTTGCCTCCTGAAAAAAAAAAGCACCTTTGGGACAACCATGAAAACCTGGATGACTGAGAATCTCCACAGACATGTCCCTTGGGTTGAGAAGGAAGGATCACTTACTTGCTGCCTGAATCCGGGCTTTCCTGCTCACCAACAAACCGAAGCGGTTCTGAGCCATGCAACCGTATTCCCCTTCGTCGGAAGTGCCGTCCTCTTTCAGCTTCCGGAAGTGGGAGAAGTAGAGGGAGCCGTTGACCAGGGTCAAGGGCTCCTCGCCCTCCTCCACCAACATCCCGTTCTTCCGCCACGTGATGCTAATGGGTGGAATCCCTTCCACTTGGCAATCCAAGCCCAGCGGCTGTTCCTGCACAGCAATCTGGTCGCTGGGCTCTACGGTGAACGCCAGCTCAGTGGAGAAGCTGAAATCTGGAATAAAAGAGAAGAGAAGAAGTCCTTTTATATATTATAACAATTTTATTATTTTATGATACACACACACACACAAAAAAAACCAAATAAAAAAGCAAAAAGAAGGGAAGATAGGAAAGGAAAAGGGGAAGAGAAAAGTGTGGAAGAGAAGGGGGTAAAAGAGAAAGAAAAGGCATTGATTTCCGACTTCCTTGGGTGCAGTAAAAGTAAAGGTTCCCCTCGCACATACGTGCTAATCGTTCCTGACTCTAGGGGGCGGTGCTCATCTCCGTTTCAAAGCCAAAGAGCCAGCGCTGTCCAAAGACATCTCCGTGGTCATGTGGCCGGCATGACTAAACGCCAAAGGCCTACAGAATGCTGTTACCTTCCCACCAAAGGAGGTCCCTATTTTTTCTACTTGCATTTTTTACATGCTTTCAAACTGCTAGGTTGGCAGAAGCTGGGACAAATTAACGGGAGCTCACCCTGTTACGCGGCACTAGGGATTCGAACCGCTGAACTGCCGCCCTTTCGATTGACAAACTCAGTGTCCTAGAATAGGGTGATCACATTAATCCACAACTTTTTAGTTTTACGTAGTAGTTTAAACTAGCCACTTGTGTAACACCATATCTACAGTATCTAATCTAGGGGTGTCAAACTCGATTTCATTGAGGGCCACACCAGGGTTGTTCCTGACCTCAGGGGGCTGGAGTGGGCATGGCCACCTCAACGTCACTCATGTTGGGGCACCTGTGGTGGCCGAGTGCTCTGCCAGCAGAAAGGGCTTGTGAGCTCTGTTTTTGGCCGCGATGGCCTCCTGCAACAAGTTTTGACAAATCCAGTTCATTTAGTGACTGTTTGAAGTTACAGCGGCACTGAAAAAAAATTGGCTTAACGATGATTTTTTTCACACTTATGACTGTCGCAGCATCCCCATGGCCACATGATTTACATTCGGATGCTTGACTACTGACTCACATTTATGACAGTTGCAGCGTCCCAGGGTCATGTGATCCCCTTTTACGACCATCTGGCAAGCAAAGACAATGGGGAAGCCAGATTCACTTAACAACTCTGTTGCTAATGTAACTGCCGCAGCAATTCCCTTAACAACCGTGGCAAGAAAGCTTGCAAAACGGGGTCAAGATTCACTGAACAACCATCTCGCTTAACAACACAAATGTTGAGCTCAGCTGTGGTCACAAGTCAAGAACTACCCGTAGTGCTTTCGCTCTTTAAAAAAAAGAAGAGGCCAGGAGCTTTGCCGTAGCTGGGGGAAAGCGATGTTTCAAAATGCTTATTAATGGGCTAATAAAAGCAGCAGGCGTGTGTTTATTCTCAGCTCGCCTGCGAAAGGTAAACTGAGTCTCCGAGTTTGGAAAAGTTTTGCCTTTACTTTTGACCCACAGCTCAGCATCCCTACCTTCCTGCTCGGTTTCCCCATCTGCCTCATCTCAAGTTACACTCCAAATTGATCCCCTCCTAATCCAACCTTTAGGTTATCACCTAAAGGAGGAGGAGGAGGAATCTGGAAAACACCCGAATGTGCCCTGCCTGCTGATCTGTGGCCCAAAAGATCAGGATCTCCCCCCTCACTCACTCCCTTTCTCCCCTCCCCCAGGATTACAGATCAACAGAGTTGGAAGGGACCTTGTAGGTCATCTAGTCCAACCCCCCTCCCAAGAAGGAGACCCTACACCATTTCTGAGAGAAGGCAGTCCAGTCTCTTCTTAAAAGCCTCCAGGGATGAAACTCCCACAACTTCTGAAGGCAACTTCTCTTCCATGGGTTGATTGCTCTCACTGTCAGAAAATTCCTCCTTATTTCTAGGTTGAATCGCTCCTTGATCACTTCCCATCCAGAGGTGGTTTTCAGCAGGTTCTGACCAGTTCTGGAGCACCAGTAGCAGAAATTTTGAGTAGTTCGGAGAACCGGTAGTAAAAATTATGACTGGCCTAGCCCCCATCTATTCTCTGCCTCCCGAGTCCCAGCTGATCGGAAGGAAATGGGGATTTTGCAGTAACCTTCCCCTGCCACGCCCACCAAGCCATGCCCACAGAACCGGTAGTAAAAAAAAATTGAAACCCACCACTGTTCCCATCCATTATTCCTTGTCTGGCCTTCAGGTACTTTGGAAAATAAGTTGACCCCTCCTTTAACAAGGAGTTTAGTTTAGTTTACTTTAGTTTGGTTTGGTTTGGTTTACTTTATTGTCATTGCACCTCGTACAATGAAATTAAATGCCATCTAACTATAAAAATAAAACAAAAACAAACATCTTTCACATTCTATACAATTGAATTGAAAACCCGATATTGCATTAGTATTGCACTATACAGTAAGGATAAAGTGCCGTGTAACAGGGTGAGCTCCCATTACTTGTCCCAGCTTCTACCAACCTAGCAGTTCGAAAGCAGGTAAAAAATGCAGGTAGAAAAACAGGGACCACCTTTGGTGGGAAGATAACACAGCATTCCGTGCGCCTTTGGCATTGAGTCATGCTGGCCACATGACCACAGAGACGTCTTCGGACAGCGCTGGCTCTTCGGCTTTGAAACGGAGATGAGCACCGCCCCCTAGAGTCGGGAACAACTAGCACTTATGTGCGAAGGGAACTTTTACCTTACCTATACAGTAGAATTCAATATAGTTACTGCCCTGGGATAGAAGCTGTTTTTCAGCCTATTTGTCCTCGTTTTTATTATCCTGTACCGTCTGCCAGATGGTAATAGTTCAAAAAAAGGGTGCCCAGGATGAGATGGAATTCCTTGTTAAAAAGTGATGGACGAAGATGATTCCCGAGGTTCATATGCATTGCCTGGTAGCATTTAGTGCCATCTCTGGCTGGGCTTCCCAGTGTGGAAAAGAGGACACAGGTGGTCCTCGAGTTACGACAGTTCATTTAGTGACCATTCAAAGTGACAGCAGCATTGAAAATGTGGTTTAGGATTGTTTTTCACACGTATGACCAGAAAATGTGGTTTAGGATTGTTTTTCACACGTATGACCATTGTGGCATCCCTCTGGTCATGTGATCAAATGTTAGGCGCATGTATTCATGACTGTTGCAGTGTCCTGGGGTCACATGATCCCCTTTTGAGACCACCTGACAAGCAAAGTCAACGGGGAAGCCAGATTCACTTAATAACCGTGTTACTAAACATGGAGAGAGAAAAAAATTGCAGACTACAGGAACCGGGAGCACCACTCAGGTGACCCTGAGGAAACACATAAACCCCCAAGTGCTTCAACAACTCTCGAAAAGGATGCACATGACCAGCTGTTTGCAAGGAATATACTGTAAATCCTTCCATTCCTCACCATCCAGTCAGAGCTGAAGAAGCTTCTTGGATGAGAGGCAAAACGTCTTCAAAAGAAAAAACAAGAAAGTCCAGTTGCCTCCTGAAAAAGCTCCTTTGGGACAACCCTGACCTAGATGACTGAGAATCTCTACAGATTTTAGCTATACAATTTGGGGTGAACACCCTTGGAATGGTGTGGGAGGAGGAATGGATTTCCAGAGGAAAAAGAATTGCAGACTACAGGAACCAGGAGAACCCTGTTCTGTCCCCGTACCACACATGCACCCCCACAGACGGCCCGGAGTTAATAAGCCGCACGACAAAACTCTTTGAAGATAAAGCTGGCAGCAACCCAGTGGCTAGCTGCCAATTCAGACTTTACTCACACAAAACAAAGATTAGACTGCAAGCATTCCGATAAAACAGGCAAAGTCCAGTAACGCAGAGATCATGGATTATTTCCAGTTTTTGCTCATCACAAACTGAACCGGCCACCACACCCATATTTATACCCTGTGGGGTATGGTCCAGTGTGTGGCTCAGCTAATCTCTGGCATGCCTTCCCCTCTGCTGCGCACCCTTCTCCCTGCGCCTCTGCCGAGGGTCCAGCCAGCGCTTATCTTCATCGTCACTGTCCACTTGTGGCTGCGGGGACGTGCTTGGCTCTGAGCCTATCGTTTGGCCTTCGGTGTCCTCCAGAGGCATTGCCAGAGAGGAGGGTCCTGGAGAGGGAAGCCTTGCCAACTCCTCTCCCTCACTCTCAGAGTCTGCATCTGTCGATAGCCGAGGCTCAGGCAACGGAGCCACAACAAACCCCTGTGAACCCCCAGTCTAGAACCTACTTTTGTAACTTACATCGGTGAGAGGTAGATGGTGGAACGATGATGTTGTTCGATTAAGGCTGATCCAGGCTCAAGTCCATCAGAATGACAATTCAACTGGTGACTTGGAGCCAGTGACTGTCTCTCAATCCAGCCTACCTCACGGGATTGTTTGGGGGAAAAGGACGACAAACTAGAGAAAGACATGCTAAGAAGACTCCTCTGAACTCTTGATTGTGGGGTGGGCCAGAAATTCAACAAGTCAATCCAACAAACAAATTAAGCAGCAAGTCAAAAGAAAGGAGTCTCCCGACCCATCAAGAGAATGGCTCTGGGCTCAATTATCCTGCCTTATCGGATTCCAGATCTTTAACAATTCAGGTTGTTTGACACTCCAAATTATAGGAAGAGGAATGTTAGAGACAGCATTCCTGGGCAGGCAACCCTGCAGACCTTTGGCCTTTGACCTCACCTCCGGTGGGGTGGGAAAACCACTTTTGAAAGTCGGAAGAATGTTTGCATTAGAGGCCGACTCAGACCCAGCGGAATAAGCCTGAAACATCACAAAGAGACAAGCTGGAATGAGAAACACGGATTCTTTCCCTGTTTGACTTTAAAAAAAAAAAAAAAAAAAGACTTGAAATTCTCTCCAAAGAACCGAAAAACAGCTCCGGGTCAAACCACCAGAACCGAAAGAAAGAAAGAAAGAAAGAAAGAAAGAAAGAAAGAAAGAAAGAAAAAAGAAAGAAGGAAGGAAGGAAGGTAGTAAGGAAGGAAGGAAGGAAAGAAGGAAGGAAAGAGAGAGAGAGAAAGAGAAAAAAGAAAGAAAGAAAGAAAAAAAGAAAGAAAGAAGGAAGGAAGGAAGGAAGGAAGGAAGGAAGGAAGGAAGGAA